TGGTCCAGGGGCATGTTGAAAACTGAGTCACAGTGAGGACATTGGAGCGCTGTGGCAGGTTTGAGAGCAGGGCCTTCTGGGCCAGACAGGATCAAAGCTGGACTACCCCCAGGATGTGGGATCTCCACCCAGCGGAGACAATGCTAGATAAAGAGCCCAACAGAGGAGGGGGAATGGGTTTCTTCTAAATTCGTCATGAATGGAAAGGCTTTGGAATCGGGCAAAGGTCAAAAAAGACCAGTTAACAGGAAGGTTAACAGGAAGGACTCATTGCCTGGACCCTCAGGGTGGGGCACATGGGCTAGGAGTCCAAACAGATCCTGACAGCCTTTGATGTCCCTCCAGCGTCCGGCAGCCCTGGACGCCAAGCCCACGCTTCCATCTATCCACCGGGCATCAGATATCCTGGTGGCTGGAGTCCAGCCTTGGGGTTTGGGGGAAGCAGCTTTGATGCAGTGAGGTCCACTGCTTACCGGCGGCGGTGCAGGGGATTTCTGAGTCTGAGAATAATATTCTGAGATCGGAGGATGCCTGGAAGAGAAGGATAGATGTCAGGGCAAGCCAACAGGTCTCAGTTTCCCTCGGTGTTCAACAAGGAAGAGAGCAGACTAGTGTGCCAAAGTGCTGGCGGCTGGGGGCTGGAGGCTGGAGAGATGACTCAGTGGTTAAGAGCACCAGCTGCTCTTCCGGAGAACCTGGGTTCAATTCCCAGCACACACATGGCAGCTCACAAGTGTCTGGAACTCTAGTTCCAGGGGACCTGAAACCTATGGCAAAAACACCAAAGCACATATAAAGTTAAATAAAAAGTTTAAAAAAAAAAAACGTGCTGGAGTCTTGGTCTGGCAACATGTTTATTTAGTTTTGGTTTATTCATTTAGTTACTTTTGGTTTTTTGAGACAGGGTTTCCCTATGTAGCTCTGGCTATCCTAGAACTCACTCAGTAGACCAAGCTGTTTGCCTCTGCCTCCCAAGTGCTGTGATTGGTGTAGCCCTCTTCCAGGTTTTAAGAAGCCATTATTTGTTTGGTTTAATAAACTAGTAGGGCTGGAACCTAGGGCCTTCAGCTTGCAAAGAGCTCTGTCCCCAGGCCTCACATTAAGAGTTTAACAGGAAGCCAGGCATTGGTGGTGTACACCTTTAACCCCAGCACTCAGGAGGCAGAGGTAGGCAGATCTCTGTGAGTTCGAGGCCAGCCTGGTCTACAGAGGAAGTTCCAGGACAGCCTCCAAAACAATATAGAGAAACTCTGCCTGGGGGGCGGAGTTTAACGGGGGGAGGGGGGCACAGGAGGATGCAAGCTCAGTGTCAGCCCAGGTCGTCAGGGATTTGTGTTATATGGGTTGGTCAAACAGAGACGGTTGCTCCAGAATGTACTTTTAGGCTCTCTGGCATCAGAAAGGAACAGTTTCTGTGAACTGCATCTCGGACCTCTGTTCAGAAACATATTTATTGGTTGTACACAAAGGTTGTGTTTGGGACACAAGAAATTCCTATTGTTGTGTACTGTGTGCAATACCCAATCATTAAAGACCTCCAAAGTGTGCCTGGATAGTCCTGTGACCACAGTCATACAACACATGGAAAATCTCCTCAGAAAAACTCAATAAATCATAGAAAAGGCCAGGTAATGGTTGTATATTCCTTTAACCCCAGCACTCAGGAGGCAGAGGCAGGTGGATCTCTGAGTTCAAGGCCAGCCTGGTCTATAGTGTGAGTTCCAGAGCAGGTTCCAAAGCTACACAGAAAAACCCTATCCCGAAAAACAAACAAACAAAAAGTCATAGAAAACAACCACAGTTCTCTATCATGATTTCTTCTAAGTCTAGGTACCTTCAACAAACACATACATTCACCTGTTACCCAGTGAGAAACAACTGTAACATTCTAATGTTTACCTCAGATACAATGACTTCTAGATTCCCACTACACCGAGTAATTTAGTGACCTGGAATCAAATTTAAAAAAAAAAAAAAAGAGCGGAAGTACACCAGTAATTCCATCACCTTTTGAAGCAAGTGGATCTCAGTGAGTTCCAGGACAGCCAGGTCTACACAGTGAGGCACTGTCTTAAAAAGGTTTAAGTTTAAAAGCAACAGGAAAGAGAGGTCTGGGTATGGCTCAGACCCCCTGGAATCCCCCAGTGAGGGGCTGGGTGCATGGCTTATGGGTAGAAAGCCTGCTTAGTCTCAGCAAGGTCCTGAGTTTCATTCCCAACAAAAACAAAAATAGAAAATGTAGAACAGACATTCGGACACATCTGTTATTGAGAATGAAGGACGGAACAGCTCCCCATACCCACAGCTGATGACCTCTGTGCTTCACAGGTGACTTAGAAACACTATAGACTCACACCTGAGTCTGAGTTATCTTTTACTTATTTTGTAATTATTTTTGAGAGGTTCTCACTATTGTCACAGGCTGGACTGGAACTCACAGAGATCCCACACACATACACTCCAGAGAGCTGGGGTTGAAGACAGGAGCCTCCATTGAAATCAAGCTCACACCAGCTCTGAAGGCTGAAAGCTCTGTGCAGGGTGATGTCCAGTCTCCCTCCTCCCTTCCTGATCCTGAGCCCAGGGGTCTCCTCTGGTAGAAGCCTGCCTCTACCCTGTCTGTGTTCTGACCTCACAGCTGCCTTCCAGTGTCTCCAAGCAATGCATACCACCACTGTCACAGGAAGCTCAAAGTTGGTCAAGCTCAACCTTGTTTTAAGACGTACATTCTGAACTGCTTTCCCCTTGGTGGGGGAGAGGGACTCAGAATTCTCCAACCTGTGAGTCTGAAGGAGTCACTCGCACCTGCCATTAAGGCAGAAGTATAAACACATGCCTGCATCTGTGCACATCTGTGTGGTCCCATAGAAACATGACATAATCACCATGTGTCTAATGAGTCACCTGCACTGGGATTAGTCTGAAGTTAACCCATCACAGGATTTGTGGTTCAAGACCCCAGCACATGGTGTAAATGCCCTAACCTCACCCCAGCTCATCATTGTGGAATTCTGGACAGGGCTCCACTCTGACCACGCCCCCAGCCCTCCGTGCGAATATGGGGTATCAAACTGGAAAAGCAGTATGTGATTTATGCTTTTCTTTTCTTCCCCCCCCCCAGACAGGTTTCTCTGTGTAGCTTTGGAGGCTGTCCAGGAACTCATTCTGTAGACCAGGCTGGCCTCGAACTTACAGAGATCTGCTTGCCTCTATCTTCCTAGTGCTGAGATTAAAGTTGTGTGCCACCACTACCTGGCATGATTTATGTTTTTAAAAAAACTTCAGGCCTTTCTGGGTTTTTGTTTGTTGTTTTTGTTTTGTTGCTGCTGCTGCTGCTACTGTTTTTCCAGACAGGGTTTCTCTGTATTGTTTTAGAGCCTGTCCTGGAACTCTCTGTAAACCAGGCTGGCCTCAAATTCATAGGTCCCTCCTGCCTCTGCCTCCCGAGTGCTGGTTTTGTGTGTGTGTGTGTGTGTGTGTGTGTGTGTGTGTGTGTGTGTTTAAGATTGACCTTTTTGTGTGTGTGTGTTTACCAGTATTTTTTCCATATGTTCTTGCCTCATGTCCAGGAAGGTCAAAAGAGAGATAACTCTGGGACTGGAGTTACAGATGTCTTTTTAGCAGAAAAGTGGTGCTGGGAATCTAACCCTAGTCCTCTGCAAGAGAAATCGGCACTCTGAGCCACAGAACCCACTCTCCAATCCTCTTCAGTTTGTGTTTGTGGAAGTTACAGAAGACTAGAGTGAAAAATCACATTTGGCAACCGAGATATATAACATCCTTTGTCTTTTCTAATCAAATAAAAATTCTTGGATTCCTCCTCTGCAAGCCCCTTTACAAGCTGAGTCATCTCATCAGCCTACCTTCCTTTAAAATGCTGTTTCTGGAAATGCTCCCAATGCAGCCTCTATCCCAGATCTAGGCGTCTGTTGAGTAGCCTTCCAGCCTGTTAGTCCTGCTATGGTTTAATGTACTTTCATTCAGAGAGTAAAATCAAAGGGAAGGAAAAATCAGTGACCTAAGGTCAGGGAATACAAGACCATCTCCCCAGTCTCTTTTTATAAAGCATTGGATCATTTGTTTTATTGTGTGAGGCAGGGTTGCACACATCACAGCATAAGGTGGAGCTCAGAGGACAACTTGAGGGAGTTGGTTCTTTCTCTGTGTAGCGCTGACTGTCCTGGAACTCGATCTGTAGACCAGGGTGGCCTCGAACTCAGAGATCCGCCTGCCTCTGTCTCCCAAGTTCTGAGCTTAAAAGTGTACGCTTTTTTAAGAACAATTTATTCATCTTATTTTATGGGCATTAATGTTTTGTCTGAACGTATGTCTATGTGAGGGCATCAGAACCTCTGAAACTGGAGTTACAAACAGTTGTGAGCTGCCATGTGGTTACTGGGAATTGAATTCAGGTCCTCTGGAAGAGCAGTCTGTACTACTCTTAACCAGTGAGCCATCTCTCCCCCTTATTATTTTATTTATTTGCTCCCTCTCCCATTCGAACTTTCCACCTTGTTAGTTCCAAACTCATGTTGTCCACTAGATGGCAGGCTTCTTCAAGTGCTGTGCCATCTCACCAGCCTTATTTTTTTTTCAACGTAATAAGAAAAAGTGCACCTTTCCCTACTGCAGAAGGCTGCGTCTTTGGAACTTAACTCCTTCCTCGGAAACATACTAAGAACATTTCCCCTGAGGAGGACTCTAGTACTCATCTCCACACCCGAGCTCCCTTGTCAGAATAGGGTCTACTGGCCCTTTAAGAAGCTCCGCCCCATAGCTAGCAGCCAATCGCCTCCGATTGGTCCCGAGCGCGTCCGAGCGCAGCCGAACTTGACGCACCCGCCCGCAACCTGTCCGACGCACCTCCCACGCGGCTCCGCAGCTTTTTAGCCAATCACCGTCGGGCGCGCCGAGATAATCTGCATGACCTCGCCCCCTCGTGGAGCTATTGGCCAATTGGAGCGCTTGTTCTGCCTTCATTAGCATATGGGAGGGGCGGCCGCGGGCGCTTGGTTGGAGCGTCGCCGCATCCCAGGTCCCGGCAAAGTTTTTTCGGAGGTGAAAAGAGCCGGGAAGTCGGGGCCTGCGTGGGGCGGGGGCTGCGGGGCGCGGGGCGCGGCCTCCGGACTCGATCTCCCAACAAAGGATCTCGGGGCATCTCGCCAGAGGACCTGCCCGCCCCGGGATCCCCCTCCACTACCGGGGAGTCTTGGGCACCGGCCTGGAGTTCCCATCGGGGTGGCGGGCAGGACCCCTGACCTCTGCCGGCCTCCGTTCCAGGTCCCGCCCAGAAAGGCCATGTCCCACGGCCCCCGGCAGCCAGGCGGGGCCACCGCGTGAGTGCGCCTCCCCCAGCCTGTCCCCTCCATGGGTACCCCTGGACATGCACTGTCCCCATCCTTGGGTACCTGTAGACACCCTGGGTACCCCCTGCCTGTACCCCTCAAACCCATGGACATACCCCGTCCCCACCCCCGGGTGGGTATTCCTGGAAATGCCCTTTCCCCACTCCCACGTAACTCTAGATATGCCCTATCCCCAACTCAGGGTACCCCAGATATGGCATGTCTCAACTCAAAGTACTCCTGGACATGCACTTTCCCCCACCCTGGGGTACCCCTGGACAGGCCCTGTTCCCACCCTCCTGTACATTTGAGCATGCTCTGTTGTTACCCTGGGTACCCGTTTTAGGAACCCCTGGTGCCGTGTTGTCCCTGCCCTGTCTACCTTATCCCCTCCTGGGACCTCTGGCCATGTCCTGTCACTATTTGGAAACTTTTGTCTCTAGGGTCTGTCTGTACTCCCCCCAGAATTGCTAGGGCACCCTATGGTCTCCTACCTCACCCTGCTCCCAGGTTCTAGGACGGCCCACACCGTCTGTCCCCAGCTGGAAATCCTAAGACTAATTCCTACATGGTCTGTTATGACGTTGGGTCCCCACTCCCCCCCTTTCCCGGGTTTTCTGTGATCTTCAACCATAAGGTGAAGATGAGATACGAGGGAATGCTTCTGACATGGGGAATGATCCTGGTTTCCCATGTCCCCAAGGCCTGCTGGAGGCAAGACCCCGGGCCAGCACGGGGCCTTCGTAGTGACTGTCAAACAGGAGCGCAGCGAGGGTCCCCGTGTGGGAGAGAAGGGGTCCCAAGAGGAGGAGGTGAGTCACCGCCTGAAAGCCTCGTCCCTGATTTGTCATCATCACACCCACTGCCTAGCTAAAGGCCACGTCCTAGCCTATCCTTCAGTGGCTTCCGCTACACCCCTGGCAGGCTCAGTCTTGGCCCAGCACCCCTTCTTTTGCCTCTGCAGAGTTCTGACCCTTGACTTGCAGCCCTATCCCTGAGCTAGACCCCGCCCACACGGCCTAGGGCCACGCCCACATGACCCAGGGCTCCTCCCAAGGACACAACCCCCTGTTGCAGCCAGTGAAGAAGAGAGGCTGGCCCAAAGGCAAGAAGAGAAAGAAGATTCTCCCCAATGGGCCCAAGGCCCCTGTCACGGGCTATGTTCGCTTTCTGAATGAGCGGCGGGAGCAAATTCGCACTCGCCACCCGGACCTGCCCTTTCCGGAGATCACCAAGATGCTGGGCGCCGAGTGGAGCAAGCTGCAGCCAGCAGAGAAGCAGGTGGGGACGGGAGGAGATGGGAGACATAGACAGGAGGGTCCCAGGGCTCCCGGCATGCCTCATGGGTAAGCTTTAGGTTCAGTGAGAGACCCGGCCTCAGAGAACAAGGTGGAGGAGAGTGATACATGCAAGCCACATAAATTTAAAGAAACATAACACGAGCCACACACCAGCCATCACCTATTGTACATGGAAGCTCAGGGGGCAGAAAGAGTGGAGGAGAAAATGCCAGACATTGGTTAGACTCTGAGTTTGAGGAAGAGAGGGAAGGAGGCAGCTACAGATGGCTCGGTGCAGGGGAGGCAGAGTCCTGGCCCTGGCTGCCTGCCTTCCTCTGGGATGGCCCTACTTTGTGGGTGCTGTCCCCCTCCAGCGGTACCTGGATGAGGCAGAGAAGGAGAAACAGCAGTACTTGAAGGAGCTGTGGGCATACCAGCAGTCGGAGGCCTATAAGGTCTGTACGGAGAAGATCCAAGAAAACAAAATTAAAAAAGGTGAGTAGGACTTGGGCCTGTGATGAGGAGCCCAGCACAACACCCTCCAAACCCAACAGGCACAAGCACACAGGTTTACCTCGGATCAGGACAGGGTCACAGATCTTGACCCTGGCTTGGGAGGGGACAGGCCTACCTGAGAGGATGGGAGGCTTCCTGGAATCCTGGCTGATCCACCCTCCTCCCTTCCCACCAGAGGACTCCGGCACTGGGCTCATGAACACACTTCTGAATGGGCACAAGGTAAGGGTCTCTCTGGCCAGAAGTATGGAGAGAAGACATAGATGTTTCAAGCTAGTGAGGACCATGTTCAGAGGAGGAAGTGAGCATGACCGCTTCTAGTCAAGATGAGCGTCATTGTCAGAGGCAAGATCACTGTGAGGGTGCAGCAACCCTGGGGTGGGGTGTGGCTTAGTGGTGAAATTGTGACCCATCAACACACACACACATCAATTGAAGATTGAAGTTTTTTTTTTTTTTTTTTTTTTTCACTTCATGCAGCTCAGGCTAGCTTTAAACTGTGTGGCTGAGGATGGCCTTGAACTCCCAATCTTTCTGGCTCAGTTCTTCCAGTTCAGGGATGACAGGCAAAGTGGTGCATCCCAGAGCTTTGTGCTGGGTGAGTGCTCCATACACTGAGCTTCAGCCTTTCCTGTGTTTGGCTGTTGCTGAGGTGGGTATGGTGGTGGCTCATGCCTCTGCTCTTACCACTTGGCAGCTTATGGTAGGAGGATTGTGGCAGGGTTGAAGCCAGCCTGAAACAGAGTAAGACCCTGTGTCAAAACACGAGCCCATTGGTGGGTGGTGGCACACACCTTTAATCCCAGCATGAGTAGGCAGAGGCAAATGATCTCTGAGTTCCAGGACAGCCAGGGCTACAGAGAGACCCTGTCTCAAAAAACAAAAGAACCATAAACATGACAGGAAAACAGCCAACCACAAGAGTAAATCTATACATAGAGTGCTTGTTTGGTATGTAGGAAACCCTGGCTTCAGCCCGGTGTGGCTCAGGGTTAAGAGCACCTGCAGCTCTGCAGAAGCCTAGTGTTCAATTTGGAGCACCCACATGGCTGTTCACAGCCAGCTCTGGGGTGTCTGCTGCTCTCTTCTGGCCACGATGGGCACTGCATGCATATGGCATACATAGACACAAATGAAAAAATAAAAATAAAAGCAGGCTGCACTGCCAAGAAGAGTGGCCCAGGAGACCCTCCCAGGTACCAGAGAAGTGGGTCCCCACTAAACTCATTGCCATGTCCAGGGTGTGGACTGTGATGGCTTTTCCACCTTTGATGTCCCCATCTTCACTGAAGAGTTTTTGGACCAAAACAAAGGTGAGATTTTTGGCAGGTACTAGTGCCTTGTTGGAGGAAGTGGAGACAGGATCAGGACTGGAGCAGGGATGGGGCCAGGAATGGGGGGATGGGCTCGGGTGAGGGAGTTGGGGCCAGGGCTGGAAGGAGGATAGGATCAGGGCTAATGGAGTTAAGGGCTGGAGGGGGCAATGGGGCCAGAGATGGGAGGGATGGGGTCAGAGGTGAGGCCAGGGATGGAAGGGAATGGCGCCAGAGATGGAGAGGTTAGGTCAGTAATGGAGTGGGTATAGCGCGCCCTCCGGGACAGCGTGGTAGTCCCCGGGGCAGCCCTGAGCTCTGACTCCCGTCTCCTAGCACGCGAGGCGGAGTTGCGGCGTCTGCGGAAGATGAACGTGGCCTTCGAGGAGCAGAATGCGGTGCTGCAGCGCCACACGCAGAGTATGAGCTGCGCGCGTGAGCGTCTGGAGCAGGAGCTGGCGCTGGAGGAGCGGCGCACGCTAGCGCTGCAGCAGCAACTACAGGCTGTGAGGCAGGCGCTCACCTCCAGCTTCGCCTCGCTTCCGGTGCCCGGTGCGCGACCCCCCCTACACAGCCCAGGGTCCGCCCATCCGCCGCGTGCAGACCCCGCCCACAGAGCTAGGCTTCTTTTGGGGCTCCGCACGTCAATTTCTCTGGCCACGCCCAGCACTTGCTCCACCCACAGCATCTGTCCCAATGTCCCGCCCGCAGAACCCGCTTTCTCTGTGCGTTCGGGTCCGCCCCATCCTTTACCAAGACAGTGCTCGCCCTCACCGACCCTCTGACCCGCAGGCACCGGAGAGACGCCTACTCTCGGGACGCTGGACTTCTACATGGCACGGCTGCACGGAGCCATCGAGCGCGACCCCGCTCAGCATGAGAGGCTGATCACACGTGTCAAGGAGATCCTGGCGCGGGTGGCCAGGTGCGGGGGTGGGCTGAGTGGGGCGGGGTGTAGGGAATGCACGGCTCTCTGCCTCACTGTCTCCCTTGTATCCCACAGCGAGCACCTGTAACAAACAGGCCTCTAGAACGGGAGATGGCCCTCTCCACCCACCCAGGAGAAAGCTGGGGGTCCCGATGGGGCCACACCCGGTGCTGCACCTTGGGGTCTCCAGATACTACCCCTCCCATGAAATCTCAACCGCATCCCTTTAGCTTGGAACCCTAAGCTCCCAGGTCACAGAACCCGAGACCTACCTCCCTTGCAGGAAGGGTCACACAACAGTGGGAGAGGAACAGAGGAGTCAGTCACTCGACTTGGACACACTCCTGGTGCAGAGCATGACCCCAGGGTGCTCACTACGGGACCCGGAACTCAATGCATAGGCACTGGGTGACATGGCGCAGCCAGGGGAGGCTGCAGTACAATCCCCCTGCCCAGTGCCTTCCATCACTCAATCCGAACTTTTGAATAAGTGTTAAATAAAATAAGTGGGGTTTGCACTCAAGTTAATTTTTGCAGCTTTGGGGGAGTGGACTCAGCTCTATCACCATGGTTCTTCAGCTTCGGTGGCCCCGCCTGCCCTCCTACTTCTGGTAGAGGGTCTCAGATCCTTCACCACCCTAACACCAGGTGGGAAAACTAAGACAGAGTGGGGCTGAGGTCTCCAATCGACTAGTCCCTCCTGAGGGTCCTCTGTGGGTCTGCGGGTAGGGTTGGGCTGGCCACTCTGTTCATCCAACCCAGTCCAGCCCATCTCGTCAGGAATCTGTTTTAGCCTGTAGAAAACAGTGAATTTCACTGAGTCTTCCAGCTGTAAGCTCTGTCTAGTTACAGAACATTCCTCAGAAGAAGCCCTCACTTCATGATCCTTTACTCTGCCGGGACTGCAGCCTCCTGCACCCATCACCACATCCAGTGTTTAGATTCACCTGGACATTTTCTGTCACAGAGGTTACACTGTGTAGCTTTTTATGTCTGGTTTGCTCACTGAGCACCAGAAGCCTGTCGGAATACTGTAGGGCATGCCCTCTTCATGGTTGAGTAATACTCCAGTGTGTCCCTGGACTGTTCATGTGCCCCAGGCTGTGGTGAGTCACTCTGGTTGAGGCCAGCCTGTGCCTGCTTCCTGTTAGACCATCCATTTCAACTACTTCGCTGTTGGATGGCAGATAACTTTGTCTCAGATACCTCTGGCTCATATGTGAAAGAGTCCTGCCAGGGCACTCTGTTTAATTAATGAGACAGGATACCTTTTAAAACTTGCACAATTTGACACACATATTCAGTGCTGAAGAATTGTATCCCCTCTACCCGTGTTCCAGCCCTTACCCCAGAACCTCCAGGCATGACCTTATTAGGAATTAGGGTGCTGGTGTGTGTAATTAACTCTGATGAGGTCATGTTGGGGCAGAGTGGGCACTGTGCCAATAGAGAGTTCTTTCGAGAAAAGGAACGTTGACACAGACCTAGGACTCTGTTGTGGAGACTGAACAACAGGCCAAGGACAGACTGCCAGAGTCAGGAAGGCCTCCCAGGGCATGGGAGGAGGGGGACAGTGTTGCCAGACCTCCACTTACGAACAAGGGAACGAGAGAACCAGGGCGGTGGGCACACCTTGAATCCCAGCACTTGGGAGGCAGAGGCAGGCAGACCCCTGTTGAGTTCTAGGCCAGCCTGGGCTACATAGTGAGACCTGTAATACAAGAAGGTGGGGTGGTCACTGAGGCTCAGTAGAAAGTCTGGCAGCACTCAGGAGGCGGAGGCAGCAGGATCAGGAGTTCCAGGCCACCCTGTTCTACATACTGAGTCCCAGGACAGTCAGGGCTACACAGAGAAACCCTGTCTCAAAAAGCAGACAGACAAAAGAACTGAGGGAGAATTAATTCATTTTGAGTTTTGTTTCATGACAAGGTGTCATGTAGCCCAGGCTAGCCTGGTACTCACTGTGTAGCCAAGGATGACCTTAAACTCCTGAAACTCCTGATCCTCCTACCTCCACCCTCCCTGTGCCCTGTGGCAAATGGTGTCTCCATCCCTAGACACCTCTCTCTCTCTCTCTCTCTCTCTGTTTTCTTTTAAACCACCTCCTTGTGGCACTGTTGTGGGAATCTAGGAGACTCACATAGCCCCAGGCATCTACTCACCTGGCTCAGTTCTACTACTCCACATACCTGGGTCTCTATCCCAGCACTGGGGAGGCTGAAACAGGAGGATTTGGAGGTGTTCCGGGTCATCCTTGGCTACATAGTGATTTCCATACCAGCCTGGACTACAGTGGGAGAGACCCTTTCTCCAAAAAAAAAAAAAAAAACCTTATTAGGGGAGAAATTAGTAGGTAGTAGGTAGGTTCAGGCAGCAGGTGGTCTTTGGGAGGATAAACAGGTGAGCAAGAACTCACTGGAAGCTCCAGGGACTTAGCCCCAGAGGAGGTCGCAGCTTGGGCAAGGCCCTGGGGCAGGGTGAGGAGGGAGACTAGCATGGCTGAGTAGAGGGAAGAATGGAGGGACGCGGGAGTGGACAGGCAGGATGCCGGGGCTGCAGGGATGGCGGTGGGCCTCACGAGCACGGGGGAGGGGGCGAAGCGGGGCTCCCTGGGACACCAGGACTGCGCACAGCACCCGGAGCTCGGGGGCCTCCCCCTGTTGTTCATGGGTCCCGGGGGAGCTGTGCCGCTGGTTTCACCTTGCCCCGGGCGTATCATGTTCCCGGATTCGCTTACGCCCCGCTCAGCTGTCACCGGCCAGGGACGGGAGGCGCAGGACGTGGCGGACCCTGCGCGCCATGGACAGCGCTGCGCCCCGCGAGCCCGGGGCCACTGAGACCCCCGCCCGCCCGCGCCCACGCCTGGTGTTCCGAACGCAGCTGGCGCACGGCAGCCCCACGGGCAGGATCGAGGGCTTCACCAATGTCCGCGAGCTCTACGCCAAGATCGCCGAGGCCTTCGGGATAGCGCCCACAGAGGTGAGGGCGGACCCCGGACCCCACTCGGGCTCCCGTGTGCACGCCATGCGAAAAATCGAACGAGACCGTAGGAGTGGGGTCCCCACATAGCCGAGGACCGGACCCAGGCTTCAGGACGCCGGGGTGGCTGATGGGTGGGAATCAGCGCACTGGGTATAGTGCTTGTGGCTCAGTGGATAGAGTGCTCAAAAAGTCAAGTTACATCCCCACACAGGATAAACCAGGGGTAGTGTTGTAAGGCCCGTTATCCCAGTGCTGGGAAGGTGGAGGTAGGGGTGTTGGGAGTTCAAAGGTCAGTCATCCTCAGTTACACAGTAAACTACAAGGTCAGCCTGGGATACTTGAGACCTGTCTCAAAAAATACCACTTTTAATTTCTTGGATTTAATTATTTGTATTACATTTCTCTTTTATTTTTGTTGTTTCTTTTCTTCTTCTTCTTCTTCTTCTTCTTTTCCTCCTCCTCCTCCTCCTCCTCCTCCTCCCCCTCCTCCTCTTCCTCCTCCTCCTTCTAATTTTGTTTTTCTGAGACAGGATTTCACCATGTAGCCCTGGATGCCCTGGATCTCAGTCTGTAGACCAAGCTGGCCTCGAACTCAGAGACCTGCCTGCCTCTGCCTCCCGAGTGCTGGATTAGAGGTGTGGGCCACTACTTAGTATATTTTCATTTTTGTCATATGTGGGGGTACCAGAGCACACAGTGGAGGTTTGGGGACAGCTTGTGGGAGCAACTCTTCCCTTTTACCATATAGGTCTTGGAAAGCCAGCAGGTGTCAGTCTGGCAGTCATCTTGCCTGCTCCCATTCCTGTGCTTGATTAATTAGGATAAGATCTCACTTTGTAGCCCAGGTTGGCCTAGAACTCGCTCTGTATGTAATCCAAACTGGCTTCTAGTTTGCGGCAACCCTTTGCCACAGCTCCTCAGCTTCTGGGGTTACATTGGTAAGCTGGGATGCTCCGACTTTTTTATTTTGGGGAATCTGAGACTCTGAGTCATCCTCCTGCCTCAGCCTCCAGAATGCTGGGATGACAGACAGGCACCATACCCACAGTCAGGCCTGCCCCCTTGTTTACAGGGGACCACAGCTGTCCCATGTGGGGCCTAGGTGTCTCTGGCCTCCAGGGGTCACCCACAGTGCCAAGTCTACTACAGAAGGGTATGCACAGGTTGGCCCTTCCATGATTGATTCTGGGTCCCTCTCTTGTTGGGACAGATCCTATTCTGCACCCTCAATAGTCACAAAGTAGACATGCAGAAGTTGCTCGGGGGACAGATCGGGCTGGAAGACTTCATCTTTGCACACGTGCGTGGAGAGACCAAAGAGGTGGAGGTCACTAAAACAGAGGATGCTCTAGGACTGACCATCACAGACAACGGGGCAGGATATGCTTTCATCAAGGTGCCTGTGGGTATATGTGATGGCCTGGGTGGTCTGGGATCCCAGGGAAGACAGCCCGGGCGGCCCTACAAGTGATTGATTCCCCACAGAGAATCAAGGAAGGCAGCATCATCAACAGGATCGAGGCAGTGTGTGTCGGGGACAGCATCGAGGCCATCAATGACCACTCCATTGTGGGCTGCCGGCACTATGAGGTAGCCAAAATGCTGCGGGAGCTGCCCAAGTCCCAGCCCTTCACCCTGCGCCTGGTGCAGCCCCGGAGAGCCTTCGGTGAGAATGGCCGGGCCCCAGGCTTGCCCCAGGGCAGCGAGAGGCAGGAAAGGCTTTTCTGAAACAGTCTCATAGCCCAGGCTACCCTCAGATTCAATATGTAGCCAAGGACGACCTAGAACTCTTTGGCCTGGCCCAGTTCGTGCAGTGTGCAGATGCTGAGATGAGAGGGTAGCTTCCACAAAATTTTTTCAAACTTGGAGATACCTGAGCACTGTTCTGAGGTGCTTTCCCTGTAGTGTCCCAGACTCTTGAGGGTGCTGAGCAGTGTCTTTGGTCAACACTCACTCCTTGTCAGGAGCTCCTCAAAATGGGACAGCCACAAATGTCCCTAGGTATTACTCAGGGTCTCTCAGGGAAAGAATAATATGCACTGGGGGATTCTAGGCAGGACTCCACCCTGACATGCCTCCAGCTCCCTAGTCTTTCAACAGTCCTCAGGAGACTGAGGCATCAAACCTTGAGTTCGAGGTCAGCTTGGGCTACAGAGTAAGACCCTGTTTGCAAAAAAGAACAAACAAAAAACAGTTCACACAAAACAGACATGTTTGTCCCTCCAGATATGATTGGCCAGAGGAGCAAGAGCAGCAAGTGTTCTGTGGAAGCCAAAGTGAGCAGCGGGAGGGAGACGCTTCGGCTGCGCTCTGGGGGCACTGCCACTGTGGAGGAAGTGGTGAGTGAGTTCAGGCTCCATTAGGAATCCCAAACCTGGAGTTGCAATACTGAAGCAGAGCCACAAGTCACACCTTCTTCTGGAGCTCAGAATGCTGGTGGTAGCCTGGCCCGGGACTCAGTACTCCGGAGGCTGTGATGGGAGGGTCACAGCTCAAGGCCAGCATGAGCTTCATACCAGGACCTTGTGTCCAAAAGATGAAGACCCTGTCCTGAAAGTCTCTGTTTCCCAGTTCATGCTATGGGTGCAGTTGGAGGATGGTTCCAGACCACAGGGTCCCAGGGTGCCACCTGTTCCTGACCAGAGAGGCAGGAGGGACCAATGTGACCCCCAACTCATTAGTACTGGTTCTTTTCTTTTCTTTTCTTTTTTTTTTTTTTTTTTTTTTTTTTTGTACTTGTGTGAGGAGGTCAAAGATTAGTATATGTGTCTTCTTTTCTTCCCAACTTTATTTATTTATTTATTTATTTTGTTTTTTAAGATAGGGTTTCTATGTGTAACCCAGACTGTTCTGGAAATCACTTTCTAAACCAGGCTGGCCTTGAACTCAGAGATCTGCCTGCCTCTGCCTCTTGAGTGCTGGGATTAAAGGTGTGTGCCACCACTACCTGGCTAACTTTACTTTTTAAAATTGCATTCTTTATTACTTTATTACATTTTGCCTATGTAGTGTGTGTGTGTGTGTAGGTGTGTATGTGTGTGTGTGTGGTGGGTGTGTGTAGGTGTGTGTATGTGTGTATATGTGAGTGTGCTGTGTGTGTGTGTGTGTGTGTGTGTGTGTGTGTGTGTAGGTAAGTCACTTAGGGAGCTGGTTCTCCCCTCTACCTTTATGAGGGTTCTAGGAGTTGAACCGAAGTCTCTCACACAGAGCACCTAGAGAGTTGTAATTCTGTGATTTAATTGTAGTAGATAATGGGTGTCCTTGTGAGATTTTTTTCACACGAGAGTGTCAAGTGTATTTCAGTGCCCCTATCATTCCCTCACTTCCTCATCGCCTCTCCCTCTCCCTCCCAGACCTCCTCTGCCTCTCACCTCTTTTTAATGACACTTGATTTGCTTCAGGGGCCTCAGAGCAGCAGCTAACACCACCGGTTTGCTATCACTCCTGGGAGCTGGGTCATCAGGCCCCTCCCCGTTAGCTGTCTATCCATTGGGAGGACTTCACCCCTAGCTACCACTAACTAACCTGTCAATCCTTAGGGTCGGGTCACCCTTGCCTCAAGCAACCACTAAAGGTTTATCAATCCTGGGGGCGGGGCCTTCCGCCCTTCACTCACCCGGCCACTCTCCTGTCCGCAGCCCAGCGACTTGGAGGCTGCGGCAGCACGCAGGGTGGATGACTTGCTGGAGAGCTACATGGGCATCCGGGACCCCGAGCTGGGTAAGCGGCGCGGGTAAGCGCGGGGTCCCCGGTGCGGGCGGTCCTGTCCGTGCGTCTGTCTGCCAGGTCACTGTCTATCCCGTCTCTCTGTCCGGCTGCTCATCTGTGTGTGTGTCTGTCTGTCCGATCCCGTAGCAGCCGCAGTGGTGGAGACTGCGCGGAGCTCGGCGGGAGCCCAAGCCTTCGCTCGCGGCCTGGACGCTGTTCTGGGCGAGTTCGCTTTCCCGGACGAGTTCGTGGTGGAGGTGTGGGCAGCCATCGGAGAGGCCCACGACGCCTGTGGCTAGCATGTGCAGGAGTCCGCAGCCCCGTGCCCAGCCCCCTGCCACAGCGCCGCTCCAGAACCCAGGACAGCCCCCAGACCCGGCCTGGCTCTAGAACCCAGGCCCATTCCAAGGCCCACCCTGGCTCTAAAACCAGGCCTAGTTCTGTAACTCAGGTGAGGTCTGAGGCCCAGTCCAGCTCTAGCACCCAGATCAGTTCTGAGATGCAGCTGGAAACCCAGCTGGGTTCTGGAACCCAGTTCAGGCCTGAGGCCCAGTCCAGCTCTAGAACCAAACTTGAGACCCTACCCAGTTCTAGAATAGAGTCCAGTTCTGTAGCACAGGCCCACCCACAGGCACAGCCCAGTTCTAGCACCCAGGTCAGCTCTGAGACCAAGCCAGAATCCCAGCCAGGTTCTGGAACACAGGTTGTCTCTGAGATCCAACCAGGCTGTAGAACCCGGTCTAGTCCTGGGACACAGCCTGGCTCTGGAACCCAGCACAGCCCTGCAGCTGAGCCCTGTTCTAGAACTCACCTTGAATCTGAACTCCAGCTCAGCCCTAGAACCCAAGCTGGTTCTGCTTCTAGACCTCCTTCTAGAGCCAAGGGCAGTTCTGAAGGCCATACCAGACTGGAAACCAAACCCAGACCTAGCACTCAGGGCAGCCCTCAGGTCAAATTCCATTCTGAGACCAAGCCTGTGTCTAGAACACAGAAAGGCTCTGGGGGTGGGCTCTGTTCTAGAACTCAGACCCATTTGGATAAGAAGCCCGGCTCTAGAGCCCAGTCAGACCCAGGGTCCAAACCTGATGCTACAGCCCAGATCATGGCTGACCCTCAGCCAGCCTCCAGTCCTGCCCTGCAGCCACACTCCAGAACCCAAACAAAAGTTAAGACCCAGCTGGGCTCAGAACACAATCCCATTTCTGAATCCCAGTTGGGTTCTAAGACCCAGCCCAGCTATGAAATAACCACCACTGTGGCCCAGCCCTTTCGAGACATTTGGAGCTGCTCTGGAGAACCAGCTACCTTGGGACCCCAGGCAAGGTCCTCCAAGCCACTGGCTGACAGACCCCAAGCCAGCTCCACTAGCCAGCAATCATCCAGACCTCTGTCCCAAGCAGGCAGCCAGAGCCACACTGCTGTGGGGTCCAGACTCAGACCCCAGCCCTGCTCCCCAGCCCTGCCTCCTAGTGCCTTCCAGTGCCCTGCACCCCAGGCTGCCTCCAGTGATGAGTCTGATTCCGAGGCCCAGCCAGGGGATGGAAGCCAGCCTGCTATGACAGTTGGGCCCCACTCCCAAATGCCCTCCACCTCTGAAGCAAGTTCCAGTTCCAGGATGTCGCCAGGCATGCAGCCCTCTTCCTCCAGAAGAGGTCATGTGGGCTCCAGGGCACAGTCCAACTCCGGGACCCAGACGGACTCGCACGCCTGGCCCAGCTCTGCAGCCCACGCAGGTAGGGCCAGCCATGGAGGATCTCAGCTACCGCCTAGGGCCGAGAAGGAGCCCAGCTCCAGATCCCTGTCTAGTTCTGGGGGCAGACCTGGTACAGGTTCCCAAAAGCAGCATCCAATGACAGCTGGAGCCAGCAGTGCCCCTCAGCTGGACACAGGACAGTGGCTTGGTTCTGGAGCCCACTGGGCCTCTAGAACCCAGTTCATACCTCAGGTTCCAGCATGTACTGGAATGCAGGCTGCCATTGCAAAGGCCCTAAGTCCCTCAACCCAGCCAGGCCCCAGCCCCAGCAGTTCTGGAAGGCAACCCAGCTCAGGAGTCCACCTTCTTAGCTCTAGAGATGAAGGCTGCCCACAGACCCTGGGCCTTGACTCTAATACACAGCCTGATCCCCTGGCCCAACTTCAATCTCCAGGCCCATCACCCCCAAGAGCCCCCACCCCTGCTCCGAGCCAGGTTGCTGGGCCTCAACCTCAAGATGGAAGCCAGGTCACAGCCTTCCCCAGGCCATGTCCCCCAGCCTCCCACCTGGGCCCCACCAGTCCCCAGAAACCTGCCCTTTCTCCCAAGCCCCAGCTGGGACCCCAGAAGTCCATGTCCCCCACCATATGTGTCACTCCTAGCCCTGGCCCTCTCCCCCACCAAGGGTAGCTGAGCTAGAGATGTCCCTGGGCTCTGATGACCTCATCCCAGCAGGAGGACAAGATGGTGAAAACTGAGGCTTGGGTTTCAGAAGCCTGGCTGTGAACCCTGAGTAAGAGGATCTGACCACAGAAGGAATTGGGGGGGGCCCTGGGGACCTTGGTGGTAAATAAAGGAGCCTGGTGCACCCACAGCCTCAAGTCTTACTTTGAGTTGTTTGCATGGAGCTGTGGGGGAGGGTGTGAATGGATCTAAGGATGCTGAGTGCCTGTTGTATACCTCAGACACTCCATCACTGGGTCATTCAACCATTTATTGAGCAAGTGTGTTGGCAGCTGTGGGAGAGGGGGCTCAGTAAACACTGGAGAGGTTGGTGTCTCCAGACCTGACTGTGGGACTCAGACAGATGCTTTCAATATCCAACCAACGCTGATGACCCTTGAGCCCAGAGAAACGTGAAGCTAGGTGTCTCGGGCTCTGGGTCTCAGCTGGTTCCCACAGCTCCTGCAATGGGCCTCCTACAAGTGACCCAAGCACCCTACCTGGACTGGGGGAACTCTGGGGGTCAGGGAGGACATCCCTAGCATCAAGGAGGCATCGGCCCTATGTCAGTGGCCCCCTCCTGGGCTCCTGAGATGGGGCACAGGCCTGTGGCAGTCACTGAGGACCTGAGGTTTGGTTGACACTGTCCTTCAGGGTCCACTGAATGCGGCTTGGACTGGGGGCGGGTGCAAGGGCAGAGCCCGGAACCTCGAACTGGGCCGTGGGTGCAGGCGCCGAAGCACCGAGCGGCGAAAGAGGATGTAGACCCAGGGGTCCAAGATCTGGTTCCAAGTGGCTACACGCAGGTAGATGAGCAGCTGGTGCTCCGTGGCCCGCAACAGCTGCCCAGAGGGGCTCATGACCGGGGTGGCCCCCAGCAAGGTTTGTGCGATGAAGACCTGCAGGGACAAAACTGTGCTGCATGACCTTGGGGGAGTGAGGCGAGCTGTCTGAGTGACCTGGGCTCAGGAAGGAACACAGGCGTTTGGCTCATGTCCTAGCTGGACTGAGGCAGGGAAAGTGAACTTGTGGATCAAGGCAGCAAATTATCCCCGAGGCAGGCCTACTGGCTTTTATTCACTTTTGGCCTACTCGCTTTTATTCACTTTTTGAGACAGAGTTTCTCTGTGTAGCCCTGGCTGTCCTGGAACTCACTCTTTTGACCGGGGTGACCTCAATCTGTCACAGAGATCCTCCTGCCTCTGCCTTCTGAATGCTGGGCTCACAGGGATGTGCTACTATGTTTTACTTTTGACAGTGTCTGGCCAAGTTGCCTGGGCTGGCCTGAGACTTAGTTCTGAGTGTCTGGGTGAATGCCTGCTCTCCAGGCCCAGAACTGGATCTGCTTTGTGCTGGGAAAGCCTGTATACAGTCGGCACATAATAAATACTTGCTGAAGGAATAAGGGGGAAAAAAGGTGTGTGCCCATGTTAAACCAGTCCTCCTCCTACCAGCTGGGCTCCATCTTCCAGAGGAGGACATCTGTACAAAAGTCCACAGGGCACCCAAGGGACATGGCAGAGATCGGTGCTAGATAGAATGCGTTCCCCAGCATTCCTAACAGGTGGACTCCTATTTATCCTTCAAAGTCCTATCCTACTCCAGGATGCCCAAACCCAGAAACAATTTCCTGACACCCTGCAGACCCTCTTAGAAGCCCTGAGGATGTGAATTCTGGGGCTCTCTCCCCACCCTGGGTCACAAGTGTGTGTGCGCGGGGTATCTGCCGGTTGCCCGGAAGGGGAGGGGCTCTGGCATGGGGACTCACCAGCAGGGGCATCCAGCACACGGTGGCCACCACCATGATGCCCACCAGCTGCACCATCATCTCCACCTCGCAGTCCCGTGGGCGCTGGCGCGCAGCTTCACGGTCATGGTAGACGCGACAGAGCGTGACCACGCTCACGGTGTTGAGCAGGAAGGACAGGCCCACAGACACACTGCCCAGGAGTGAGAACAGCAGGCCAAAGGCCACGTCGCTGTGCAGTGTCCCGAGCGTGAGGAAACACCAGGAACCAGGGTACTGCACGGTGTAGCGGCCGAGGCCCAGCAGCGGCAGCAGCCCCAGTGCCAGAGCGGCCAACCACACCAGCCCCACGGTGGCCCAGGCGCGGCGCCATGTGGCCGACGGTCTCCAGAAAGGCCGCGTGATGCCCACGTAGCGCTCTGAGGCCATGGCAGCGCCCAGGAGCAGAGGGCACAGCCCGAAGAACACCATGGCCACCCCCATGAAGTGGCAGAGACGGCAGCTGGGGTCAGCGGCCTGCCAGGCGAAGAGTGCAGCGTGCTGCGACACCACGATGGCGCCGGTGACCAGAAGCCCCAGGAAGTCGGTGAGGACCAGGCCGCACAGGAGGGTGAGGAAGGATGAGCGCGGAGATGGTGCCCTGGCCAGCACGCTTAGGGCCAGCAGGTTGGACCCCAAGCCCAGCACGCAGAAGGATGCAGCAAACCAAGGCGATGCGATGAGACGCCGCTCCTGCAGTGTGATGTTCATTGGCCGGAAGCAGGGTCCTGGGGAGCTGCCATTGGGCCACATGGCTCCCAAGCCTGGTGCAATGAGAGGTCACCAACCCATCAGACGCAGGTGGCCAGAAGTCTGGGGCTCACCTGAAGACACAAGGTGGTTTGTGGTGAATTCCTACGCAGCCTTCCATGTCCAGGAACAAATACCTTTTTTGACCTAACCTACCTTCCGATGTCTTCTGACCCCGTTTAGTGGCCCAGGGCAGCCTGGAAGTCTAAATCCTCCTGCCTCAGCCTCCTGAGTAGCTGGAATGACACAGGGGCAGCCCTGAGTTTGAGTTCTAGTCCTTGCACTCATAGTGTGGCCTCAGTTTCCCTATCCTGTCACCCCTCCATCATTCTGGCCTGCTCACTGGAATGACCCTCACCCTTTGTCCCTTTCCCTTGCCTCACTTTTATAATAAGAAATGAACCCAGAAGTTCTTGTTCCATTTTGGGAACAAGAAAAAAAAACAAAACAAAACAAAACAAAAAAAAAAAAAAAAAAAAAAAAAAAAACAAACCCAGCCCGACAGGGCCACATCCCCAGGGATGACTCCAGTGGGGAGGAACGCAGGGGCCACATCACAGAACCGAGGTTGGATGTGGCGTGTAAAAGTGAGACTGTTCAACCATCAGATCCCTCCCAGCACCAGGGAGCCAGTAGCAGGAGGAGTTTAAACTGCACAGAGAGATAAAAAAAAAAAAAAAAAAAAAAACAAGACCAAGACCATAGACCAGAGACAGGTGGGTATCTGCCTAATGTCACACAGTGTTCCTGTGTAACCCAGACTGGCAAGCAATTCATGGAGCTCCTCCTGCCTCACTCAGATTTCTGGTGTGAACCATGTTTGGCCTTTTTTTTTTTTTCTTTTCTTTTTTACATTATTCATTTACATGTGGGGGGTGTGTGCAAGGCACACATACAGCCCAGGGTGTGTGGAGGTCAGAGGACAAATCACAGGAGTTGCCTCTTGTCTTCACCATGTGGGTCTTGGGGTTCGAACTCAAGTCCTCAGACTTGGCTGTAATCACCTTTACCTACTGAGCCACAATGCAAGCCTTTGGCTTTCTCCTTTTTCTCCACCTCTCCTTCCCCCCAGCCCCCTGCCCATTGAGCTCTAGGCTTCTAACAGTTGGTCATTTTGGGTTCAGGATGCATCCTCTGTTTTTGTCCCCATGTCCCCTCAGAGCCTCAACTTCCCTTCCTGTAAAGCCAGCTGATACTGACAATTATCTGTTATGTCTATTCCTGGCACATGGTAGGTGTTCAGTTTATGTAGCTAAGAATGTTCCAGGCTGGCACAAGCAGCTTCCCTGCCTCACTCCCATCTCAGCCAGAGGCCACCAAATGAATGGGCTGCCTGCACCATCCAGAGGAGAAAATGGAGGCTTAGAGAGATTGTGGGGGTGGTCTTGAGGCTGCCCCTTGATGATGTCACCCTGGCTCTGAGGTGCTGTGCAAGTATTGGAGTTTCTGCGCTAGGTTCCCTGGGACCACAGCACTCCCCCTCCAAGGTGGATTTGCACCAGCAACCACCCCCCTCTTTCTCCTCCTTGGCCCAGCCTCAACACTGGGTCCCTCAAATGCACTGTGGCCCTACCCCACAGCAAGCCCACTGCCCAGCTGGAATCCTGCACCAAGCATGGTTGTCGGTTTCCAGTTTTCCCTGTGTCCCTCCCTCCTTCCCTCCCTCCCCTGGGGTTCAGGTGATAATGGCAGGCTCAAGTTGCCCAGGCCAGATTGGAGGCAGGGCCTGGCAGCCTCCCACACTGGCCAGCATCCCAGGCTGTGTGGTCCCAGGGAGATCACTCCTTGCCTCTGTGCCTCATCAGATTCTAGCCTCGGGGCAGGGAGTTCTGGGCTGGGAATTTTAAGAGTTTGGAAGTGTTTTTGTATGTCTGTCTAAGACAGAGACTCTGGCTGCATAGACAGGGCTAGACTGGAACTCACGAGAGAGAGAGAGAGAGAGAGAGAGAGAGAGAGAGAGAGAGAGAGAGAGAGAGAGAGAGATCCATGCCTCCAACTCCTGCTAGGACAACAAGCACAGCTGTACCTGGGTTATGGTTCTAGAATTCTCCTGAGCTCCCACCCTGACCCCAGAGGTTTGAGGAGCTTAGAATCCTCCAGTCTTGAGTCCTGGAGTGAGGGCAGCTCTGCATTCCTGAGCCATGACCCTGCTTTTGGGGGTGGGGAGGGCAGTAGTGTTCTGTCTGCAATGGGGCACCCTGGGGTGCTGCTCCCTGCCCCTTGAGGCCCAGGCATTGGTGGCTGCCTTCCAGCCTGGCGGAATGTGGTGGTGAGGGGCTGGGCTCTGAGCTCCAGGCCCCTCCTCCTCCTCTCAGCTCATCCATCTCCCTCAAGCCTCTCTGGCAAGCCTCAGAGCAGCCTGAGCCCTCCACTAACCCACCCCCATCAGCACCCTACACAGCCTCAGTTCTCCCCCCCTTACAAAGAATTGACATTCCCTAGTGGCTTTCTGCTTGGGCCTATCTGTGCAGAGCCTTGGCCCCAGCTTTTCCCAGAGGGGACTCTGGTGTGGACACCCCACAACCCCACAGACCCTCAGGGCTCACCACAGGCTATTCAGACTCTCCCTTCCAGGGGCCACTTCCTGTTTGTGAGGTAGCCCCAGGGTGCAGGTGTCATTCTTACTGCTTGGGCCTCAGTTCCTGGTGTCCTACCTCTCTGGGGGTAGGACAGGTGCCATGGATATTCTGAGCTGAGACTATGTGCACCCCCCCACACACACATGGAGTCACATGCACACAGCCCACATCCCACAGCTTCATCTCTGCCGGAGCATTTGGACTGGCAGGAATACCCATGTGTAACCAAGGAAATTACACTTGTCCAGGCTAGACCACTGGAATAAAGGCCACACCCTTGGGGTCCTTTTCAGGGAACTTGGAGACCTGTTTGCTGTCACCATCCGATGGGATAGATGCGGCCACAGCAGAGCTGTGGATGAGTCTGGCCCCCCCCCCCCAGGCACCATGCAGAAAGCTGCTCACCTGAGGAGTCAGGGTGACCTCTCATTAGGGAGGAGGGACTCACCCGCGGTCAGTACCAGGGTGTCGATGTGTCCCAGGAGCAGAGCAGGCAGTACCTCTGTGCTTTCCCAGGCCAGGCAGAGAGAGCAGGAGCAAAGACCCCTGGTGAAACCGAGGCACCAACAGACGCCCTGAGGCTGTGGGTAGATGGTGTGGCGCTGGGGACCCCCAAGGGGGACGGGGATGGGGGGGGATGTGACAGTGAGGCTGTCTCCCGCCCCGCCCTGTCTCCATCTGTCTTTCTGCCTGTCTCTCCAGCCCCGCCCCCTGCGCTGGCCTCGCCCCTTAGCCGGGTGCCTGGCTAGGGTGGGAACCCCGGCGGGGCACAAGGGTGACACAGACGTTGGTTGTTGACAGGCCAGCGACCCAGAGGCCCAGAACCATGTGGGGAGAGCTGCGCGGCCAGATGGGGCTGGTCCTGGCAAGGCAGCAACGAGCCTGCTGGACAAAGTGTCCAGGCGCCTTCCAGGGGTCTCGGGAGGTCCAAGGCCAGACTGCGGGGGCCACAGGGCTAGGGGAGGGTATGGTGGGGGAGGGGTGCTGTGGGAGAGGCCAGATGCCTGCCTGGACGCCTCCACAGACTTGGAGCAGGCTTGGAGCCCCCTCCCCCGCAGCTCTACTGCAGGAAGTCCTGACCTTGGCTGGGGACTGTGTAGACTTGGGAGCTGTGGTTTAAGGGGAAACCTGGGCCCAGGAGGCGAGCGTAGGTCACTTTGGCCTCAGTTCTTCACACACTTGAGCAGGATGTGTCCTGGTGAGGACCAGGATGCCCGGCCTGGCCGTGACCCTAACCTCCACCCAGTTCCATAGTCTGGCCAGGGTCAACCAGACTCCTTTCAGCAGCCGGAAGCCCCTTCTCCGCTACCCCACCCCTCACCCTTCCGGTCTCACTCCTGAGGGCCCTCCCGGCCCATCCCATTATTCAGTCCTGAACCCTAACTTGCCTCTTCCCTGGTGAGGGGCCAGCTCCAAGTATTTTTGTAGCTCCTTTGTGGGGCTGTCTCCTAATTGGACCTGCCCTTCCATCCCTGGTTTCAATGGCCAGGGCTGAGGAGGCAAAGCAAATTTCCTTCCTTCCTTCCTTCCTTCCTTCCTTCCCAGAGGCTGGCTGGGATTTAATGCTGTGGGGAAGGGTATAAGGATGGGGGCTTTCCCCTGGTCTGGGCTACAAGGTGCTGGTGGTAATGCTTGGTGAGAGTGTGATGCCTTGTGAGGCTGTGGTGGAAAGAGGGTGTGAGGTTGTGCTCCTGACCAGGATGGGGACAGGGGATGGGGGACAAGGCTGAGGGTGGCAGGTGTGGCAGTACAGGGACAGGGGATGGCAGTTGTCATCTTTCCCTCTGGACATGTCCAGTCTAGAGAATCACACAATGGTCAAAAGGTGACAGCTCAGTATGCACGGGGAAACCGAGGCCACACACACACATGCATTGCTCAAGGTCGGGACAGCAGCTGGGCTTGCTGCCACTGGGGGTGGATGTGGGAGCCGCCAGGCTCAGGATGTACCCCCTGTGGCTGTGGCTTCCTCTGAGGCTGGGGGTGCCTATTCTTAGCTCTGGACACAACCAAAGGAAGCCAAAGGTTGCATGGGAGCTGGAGACAGCTTCCGGGTGGGGACATGAAGGCACCCCTGGGGATGATCTGCATCCTTACCAGGCTCATTCACCCTCTATGGCTCCCTGGTGCCCCCGCGGGTCTGGTTCTCTGGGCTGGACCTCCTGCCGGGTCTTCTGCAAGGACCTCATCAACCCCTCTGGGCACCTCAGGCTCTTTGGGGTCCCCTTACCCCTCCCTGTCTCCCAAGGCCAGGACCATGCTGGGGCCACACACATCCAAGAACCAGCAGGCTGGAGATTCCATGGGGTAGGTAGGAGGGACCAGGTAGAGAAACTGAGGCCCAGCGTGCTGTGCACTGTACAAGCACCCAAGTAACCCTCAGGCTCAAATGCCCCTGGCCCTACCCAACTCAGCCCTGAGTGGGACCTTTGGGGACCAGTGTCCTTTGGTAGAGGTTGCCCCGAGGACCATGCTGTCACAGCTCCACTGG